CTAGCATTGGGAAGGATAAGACAAAAGGATCATCACAAGTTTCTGGCCAACCTGGAATACACAGTGAGTTACAGGCTAGGCTGGGCTGTAGAGTGAAAGCCCTGTCCCCAAATAAAAACTCAACCAATAAATAAATGACAATAAATTAAAAGATGGGAAAAAATATAGCTCTGATACATAAGGAAACGAACAAAAGAAGAAACTATGAGATGCTGTGTGGTGTTTCATGTCTATAATCCCAATACTTGGCAGGCTTAGGCAGAAGGGTCAGGTCACCATCTACAACACAGCAAGTTTAAGGTAACACTTTGTGTCCAAAAATTATTTCAATTTTAAAAAAATTAAATCAATATTGCAACTTTAGGAAATAATTTCAGACAGATGAAATTCTTAGCAAGATTTCCTTATGGGGACCACTAAGATAGTTCAACAGGTTAAGATACTTGCCACCAAGCCACACAACTTCAGTTCAATCCCTGGAACCCAAATTCTGGAGAGAAACGATTTCCAGAGCTTTCCCTATGACCTCCATGCAATTCACACACATACATACAAACATAAACACAATTAATAAACTGTTTGCTTAACATTTTCTTATGAAGTAATGAGCTACCATATGTGAAAAGAAATCTAGACATTAGAGCCTCAAACTTCTCTGGATTTCTTCCATCTACCCAAATCACTGCTGAGAAAAGAGTACCAGACAGAGTTCACAGTGACCTTTGGATCAAGGATAATACTTCTCTAAGAAGTGCCTTGCTATTTATCTCCTGAAAAGAGTACCTTTTATAATTGAAAAGTTTTTTGTTTGCCTGAGACAGGGTCTCATGTAGCCCAGGCTGTCCTCAAACTAATTGTGTAGGGAAGGATGGCATCAGACTTCTAATCCCTTTATCTCTCTTCCCAGTCCTCTTGTAGGTGTACACCACCATGCCCAGTTCTACCTACCAGTTCTTAGAGACTGGACTCAAGGCAAGCACTCTACAAACTGAGCTCTAGTCCCAGTTATTCTTCTTTTCAATATCAAATTGGCTAGCAGAAACTTCCACCTAAATTTTAAGTTCTGTAGATTATTCTTACATGGATTATTTTTGCATTTCAGAGACTACCTAGTTGTAAGTCTCTTTTCTCTCCCTGACATGTGACAGATCTCATATGTGTACATATGATCACAATTCTTTAAGAAATAATGAGAATCAAACAGTACAAAGATAACTAGATGATTTTTCTGGCTTAAGCCCTACCCTAATTATATGCTCAAAATCACAGAAATCTTCATTTCCTTTGATAATTCCTCTCTGATAACTGATAATCTCTTTCTAGATTATTTTTTCCTATATCTACTATGAACAAATATGATTATCAAAAAAGTACTATTAGCTGGGTGTAGTGATGTATACATTTATGATGTCCACATTTATGAGACCAAGGAAGTGGGTATATCTGAGTTTGAAGCCAGCCTGGTCTATGTAGTGAGACCCAGTATCCAAAAGGGGGTAAAGATCAAAATACAATTACACATAGTAAGTTCATTAATAACACATTATGGGGAGGGAGAGAATTAGGGATTGTTCCACTACTCTTAACATGTCCCAGCTACTTATTAGACACAAATAAATTCAAGCTGATAGATCACTAACTGCTCTCCACAAAAAAAGGCATGAAGATAGGTCTATCACTGGACTACTTCTTTTTAATATATATATTAATATATATTAATATATATTAATAATGTATATATATATAGATATATATACATTTTGCCTGCATGTTTGTGCCCAGTACCAAAAAAGATCAGAAGATGGTGTTGGATTTCCTGAAATGGAGTTAGAGAAAATTTGTGAGCCACAATGTGGGGTCTGGAACTCAGGTACCTCTGAAAGAGCAGCAAGTTCTCTTAACCACTAAGCCATCTCTCCAGCACAGACTTCATCTTTTTTTTTTTTTAAATATTTACAGAACCCCTTAAGATTGACTGTTTTATTATAATCAGAGCTATTTATTTATTAATTTTTCAAAGTCAGAAAATTTCAAATGACATTTTTAGACCATCAATAAATGAATGCTTAAGGGAATAATACTTATCACTTTGAAATAATAAGAGTACATCATCCTCATTCAAAGAGGAAGATATGAACACAGGTCATTTTCAAATCTGTTCATGATCAAAATGACTCGCTGCTCATATTATTGCTATGTTTCTCTCCTGACAGCACTGCAAGGACCAAGCAAAGGTTCTTACGAATGACTTCTAAGAAAATGACAAGTTTTGGATATAATTTCAGGAAATAGAGGGAATGGCTGCTTATTTTCCAGCCATAGAACTTCACTCTCCAGCAAAGGGACGTCTACAAATCAGGGTAAAAGAGTCTACTCCCTGGGCTTCAAGTTTGCTAACAGGCCTAAAGTGCACATACATACTCACATATGTCTCTAACTGTAACTCTTGTGCTCATTTATTAGTCCTTCCTAATACTTACTCTTCTGCCCTCCTTTGTTGAATATTTTGCCCTCCTTTTGTAAATAAGGTGGTAGCTAGATGCAGCTGCTGAAACCTATACCAACTACTCAGTAGGCTGAGACAGAAGGATCTCCTAAGTATAGGACATAGAGGCCAGCATGAGAAACACAGTACTAACCTGTCAAACAAAATAAACAAATGATTGAGTAAATGCAAACTTATAAAGTCTTAATTGAAAAGTAACTACCTGTTCAAACAATAAGTAAGGTGACAGACAAACAAAAGACAGGTAAACAAAAGAATCCACTCCCTGGTAGTCACTCACATTCCCAAACTTGCTGTACATCATTCTAAATCATGTATCTTTTCTCAATAACTAAAATTTCCACCAGTGCAAGCAAGTCATTCTCAATATTTTTAACTAACAGTATTTTATTCACAGTAAGAGACAAATGGAATACACACTTTCATTAAAAAACAATGACATTTCCAATTTACTTCAATCTGGTTTTGAATTAATTTAATATAACAGCAAAATCATTGTCCTTTTTCTATAACAAGTGAGACTAAGATGTGGATGTTTTAAAAACTGAAAATCATTTGATCTGTCATTTTTTATTAAACTTTATACTCCATTATCTTCCAGATTTGAAATTCAACTATATCAAACCAAACAGTGGAAAGAATGCAGTGGCATTACAAGTGAACATACCAAGCAGACAATTATATACTTTTATTATACCTATGTCCATATAATATTAGTTCATCAGGAAAAGTGGTTGTTATACAAGTATCAAGACCAAAGTTCTGATCCCCAGAACCCATGTATGTTGATCAAGTGTTACAGCCACACTATAAAAGTAATTCCTGATTAAGCCAGCTAGCTATTCTAACCAAATAGAGGAGGTCTGGGTTCAAGTGAAAGACCCTACCTAAATATATAAGGTGGAAAGCAAGTGAAGAAAAGACACTCAACACCAATCTCTCGTGCATATAAATGTTCCCATACTTAAGCCAACACACACACACACACACACACACAATTAAAAAAAGAGAAAGCAACTGAAAGGCAAATTCAAATTCCTGGCTTGGTTAAATACAGGACTAATAGCTTTCAGATAAAATATTCATAGGTGTCACAATAAATCAAGATTTTATTAGAAATCAAAAATGGATACACTCATGCATAAAAGGTGACTGTTATGATTATGGTATACAGACAAAATAATGGAAAGTATCTCTACCTGCTTTTTATTTTATGTATCAGATGTTGCCTTAATGAAGATAGTCTACAATGTTCTATCATATGTACTGCATTGTTTTATCATTGTAATTATCTGGTTAGTATCTGGTCATCAACACAAATCCTTCACTGTCTTATAGGACTTTTTCATTTGTTTCCTTTCTCAAAATGATACTCTAAAACAGTTTTAGTTTCATGTTCTTGTTCATTCATCAAGTTTGTTGCCCTTACTGATTAAAAAACTGGTACTTTATCTCCATGAGATATAATCTATCATAGTTTACATGAGTTTGAGTATGACCCCACACCATGAAGCTGATATTAGCTCCTTTTTAAGTTCTTTGGTGATAAGGTTAATACAAATGTTGAAATAGTTATTATAGAGAAGAGAATAGCTCAACATTTAGTTTTAGCACAAAGTACATTGCCTTATACATTCTGAATTTATGATAATCATCTTATAAATCTCTGCTCTAATCTGTTATGCAGAACAGTATTCAACCACTACAGTATTCAACCACTTCAGTATTCATGAAAATATTCCCTAAGTTCAAGCTCACAATTAAAATGCTATCATTACTGTAATAATAAAATACATTAAAAAAAAAAAAAACACTGTGGCCTGCCAAAATTACAACACTGCTTCTTACAAAGTTGATCCTGTACTATTATTTCTAACAGTTTCCTATAATTTGGATTAGGGAGAAAAGCTGTAGATGCCATTAATAATTTCTGTTCAAACTGTCAGGCCAATGAGTTTTTTTCAATGTCTTTGATTCATTTTTAAGTGGAAGTAGGTAACATGGAGGGGAAATGTCCTTTGTCATATTAATAAAAGGCAAACCTAACATAACAATAAAACATATATAATGCCTGAGGAGAAGTGGTCTGCTCACTCAAGAGTGAGTCCTGGAGAAAGTCAAAATGCTTGCTACCAGTTATGACTCAAATTCAACTCTACTTGCTATTACAAATAGTTTATGACCGGCTGTCATCTTTGGGGGGCTAGAAAACAAGATAAAGTTCAGCATTCTTTAAGAAAGAATTAGGAATAGTCAAAATTGATTGAAATTCTAACTTCCCAATAAAATATTAAGCAGTCAGCTAAAACCCTTATGAAGACTATGTAACAGAAGAAACATCACAAATTAATATGAAAATAAAGAATATTGTTTAATTAGGGTAACATTTAAAAGCCAGTTTGAAGAGGACATACATTAAACAAACACAGTAAATAAACTGCTGAACTACCTCAAAACAGAGCATATAAAGTAAGAAACTGAAAGCAAGTTTTACCTTGGGCTAATCTTTCAAGTCGCTTTCCATGCTCCGGAGGTATAGCATACCTAAAATGTTAAGAATAAATAAGAAAATGCATGTTTATAATATTTTAGATAGTATCTGAAGGATATTTATTCTGAACACCTTCACTTACAAAAATTTAACACTAAATTGCACTTAGATGAACTGACTAGGAAACAAGAAATCATAAAAGCCTGTACCTTAGACACAGAATGGAAGAAAATAATATAAACAACCCACTTAAAAGTCCAAGATCAACTGTACTTTAAAGTTTAGTGAACAAAGGTTCAAGACTAGTAAACCCTCATCTAAGCTGAGAGACCCTCCACTAATCACAATTTTTCTATGTACTGTACATATTTCTGGGCAAAGAGACTTTTGTTTGTTTGTAGGCTGGTAAGTTTTGGTATTGTTTCAAAAAAATATTGGTTGCTATCTTTTTATAATTTTTTACTATACTTATTGTGTGTGCATGTGTATGAATGCACACATGCATGCACATGTGTACCATGTGTGCATGTGAAGGTCAGAGGACAACGTTCAGGAGTTGGTTCTCTCCTACCAAGTTAGTTTCTAGGGATCAAACTCAGATTTTCAGACTTGGTGGCAAGCATCTTTGGTTGTTGTCTTCTAAATGTAGCTTTTATTTTATTTATTTCATAATTATATAACTTTAAAAATCCTGATTACAATCTTTCTACCCTAAATAACAGAAATATTCATCTAAATTTCTTAGTACAGTCGCTCTTAACCTTTCTAATGCTTCAAACATTTTAATACAGTTCCTCCAAACATCTTAATACAGTTCTTCATGTAGTGGTGACCCCTAACCATAAAATTTTCCTCATGGGTTTATATCAGGAATGAATTCACTTAGAAGATTTAAAAAAAAAAAAAAAAAAAAAAAAAACAAAAAACTGCAGATCAACTCTTTATAACACCTACAAATGTATACACACACACACACACACACACACACACACACATACATACACACATACACACAATATGGGTATATTATGTCTGCGCAAGATGAGCTGGCTGTGGAAAGATATTTACACACCCGTATCCCTTTAAACAATTGGCAAGATTAAATTCTCACAATTTCAAATTTAATCATCATTTCACAGAAAAGGCAACTACACCCATTTGTTGAAAAAAGAAGAAAGGGGAAAGTTAATATTGGTCTATACCAAATCTGATCGGTAACTTACTTCTGGTACATGAATCACTCTTATTAGATATTCTGCTGCCACCCTACCTGGGTGACCTTATTAGCCAATCTTCTAAACATCTGAGTGCACTACTATGGAGAATTATCTGTCTAACTGGGACTGTTTTTCTTTTTAAATTTAGGACAATGTCTTGCTCTATTTCTGAAATCTCTAAAAGACACAACTCCTACTACAATTATAAATGAATTCAAATTCCTACGATTATGACTGGGTGGCGGTGGCAAATGCATTTAATCCCAGCACTCTGGAGGCAGAGGCAAGTGGATCTCTCTGTGTTTGAGGCCAGCCTGGTCTACAGAGGTAGCTCCTAGACAGCCAAGGATGCACAAAGAAACCCTGTCATGAAAAACAAAACAAAACAAAATTCTTATAATTAATCAAACATTGCTACAGTTCAACATTCTCTAAAATTATTTGCAGTAGTTTCATAGGGAGTGAAACTGTTAGGAGGTGTGGCCTTGCTGAAGTGGGTGTGGCCTTTTTGGAGGAAGCATGTCACTTTGGGGGGAGGGGCTTTAAGGCCTTCTATGCTCAAGACAACATCCATTATCACAGTCTACTTCCTGTTGCCTTGTGATCAAGATGTACCCAGCACCTTGTCTGCCTGCATGCCACAACATTCCTTGTCATAATAATGGACTGACTGATCCTCTGAAAGTGTAAGTGAGCCACCCCAATTAAATGTTTTTTATATATAAGAGTTGCCATGGTCTCTTCACAGCAATAGAAACCCTAAGACAGAAATTGGTACCAGGGACTGAGGTATTGCTGTGATAGATGACGATGTTTTTGTTAGGAGGAATTTGGACTTATGGTACTTTGGGTTAGGAAAGCAGTGGAATGCTTCAAGCACTGCTTAATGGGCAATACTAATAGGATCATGGGAGACAATGGTGCTGAGAATGATATGAACTGTGGGGATCATAGAAAGAATGGTGCTGAGAATGACATGAACTGTGAGGTTTCAGAGAAGATGTTACTATATAGCCTACAGATTATTGTGATATTTTGTCGAAGAATGCGGCTGCCTTTTGCCCTTGTCTAAGAGTCTGCCTGAGGCTAAAGTGAAAAGTTTTAAATTAATTCCCTTGGCAAAGGAAATCTCAAAACAGCCTAGTATAGACTCTGTCTTGTGATTATTAATTGTCAACTATGATGAAGATTTATAATGAAAAAGGGTAAGGTGAGCAAATAAAAATACAAAATGTACAGATAGAGAAAAGGGGCACTAGGAAGTAGAACAGAGCTAAATTCTGTGTTCAAGAAGATAAACAGATTAAGAAATGGAATAAAGGGAGTGGTGATCTCAGGGCAAGATCCTACCCAGCTAAATTTCTAAAATGTGAAAAGGATTTAAAGAAAAACTTAAGAGCCGGGTATGGTGGTGCACACCTTTAATCCCAGCACTCAAGAGGCAGAATCTGGCTGATCTCTGAGTTTGCGGTCAGTCTGGTCTACAAACCAAGTTTAAGGACAGCCAAGCTTAGGCAGTGGAGGTAAAAATCAAAAATAGAAAGCTGGTAAAGATGTAATTGAACAAGGGGACCATGTTCCAGTCCCAGAAAACAGCAGAACTTGGCAGCTTCAGCCACGTGGTTCTGAATTTAGAGTTAAGTATAAAAGAAACAGGTTATGGAATTTGTCTCCAATAAGGAAAGCCACTGAAGCCAGGCATATGTCAGGGTTGTCCCTAAACGGAGGCCTAAAGAGGCCACTGCATGAAGCTGTGAAGTTGGAGCCTTGATTGTCTTGGAGAACCCAAGATGTTAGACATGCCAGAGTTGTGGGATACCTGCCCAAGAGAGTTGATAACAGGGAGTGCAACCAGCCCAAGTGAAATAAGTGTGCTGCAGTCAACAAAGCTGAATGCAGTTGGGAGATCTGAAGAGTGTTTTGACATCAGACATGAAGATGCAGAGTTTGGGGTTTGCCCAGCTGATTCTCAGTCTTGCTTTAAACCATTATTTCCTCACTATGCTCCCTTCCCTCTGTTTTGGGACGGTGATGCATATCCTGTGCCATTATATGTTGGAAGTACGTGATCTGTGTTTTGATTTTGATTTACAATTAAAAGACTGAATGAATCTCAGAAGAGACTTTGAACTTTGGACTTTAAAATACTGTTGGGACTATGATAGACTGTGGAAACTTTTGAAGTTGGACTAAATGCACCTTGTACTATGATATTGTTACAAGTTTATGGGGACTAGAAAGTGGAATGTGGTAGTTTGAATGTAACTGGCCTCCAAAATCTCAGAGAGTGGAACTATTAGGAGGTGTGGCCTTGTTAGAGGAAGTATGTCACTGTGGAGGTGGGCTTTGAGGTCTCCTATGCTCAAGATACTGCCCAGTGTCACTCACAGTCCACTTACATCTTGATCCTTCTGATCAAGATGTACCCAGCACCATATCTGCCTGCATATCACCATGCTCCCCACGACAATGACAATGAACTGAACCTCTGAAAATGTAAGTGAGCCACCCCAATTAAATGATTTCCTTAAAAGAGTTATTATTGTCATGGTGTCTCTTCACAACAATAGAAATCCTACCTAAGACATCATTAAAAGGTAAAATTTTCCTTCTAACCATTGTCCACAAAGAAAAAATGAAATATTGCCCAAGCAGAACTAAATCTTCATATTGATAGTAACCCTCTGGTAACATTCAACAAAGTACAAGGTAACAATGAATTCTGGAAGACATTTTCACTGCCCTGCTATAAAAACTATTGACAACAGCTATGCTTACATGAAAAAAAAAATGTGTCTCTCTAAGGAGGAACACTGATTAGATATTATGGGTACAATTGCCTTTAAAGTTATCAGTGATTAGATATTGCATAGCACATTTTCATTTTATATCAGTATCTTTACTAATTCTAAATTTTTTCTTACTTTCAAGATCAAGGAAACAGCATCCCTTCTAAACAATACTTTGTGTAATTTACTAAAAAAATAAATAAAAAGGAAACTTTATTTGAAATACTTTGAGGCTTTTCTTGTTTATGATGATGTTAGCTGTGGTTTTTCCTGTATATTGCCTTCATTATGTTGAGAGACATCCCCTGTATCTCTATTTTCTGCAGAACTTTAATCATAAAGAGATGACAGATTTTGTTTGAGGCCTTTTCTCCATTTAATGAGATGGTCATGTGGTTCCTACCATTTACTCTATGTGTGCTGTGGAATAATCCTCTTGTACACTGTAAAGATTTGGCACTTGAATTGGTTTAATAAAATGATGATTGGCCAGCAGCCAGGCAGGAAGTATAGGCAGACGACCAAACTAAGAATGCCAGAAGAGGAAGGGTGGAGTCAGGAGTTGCTAGTCAGACCTAGAGGAAGCAAGATGAGAATGCCATACTGAGAAAAGGTACCAAGCCACATAGCTAAACATAGATTAGAATTATTGGTTAATTTAAGTATAAGAGCTAGTTAGTAATAAGCCTGAGCTATCAGCTAAGCATTTATACTTAATATAAGCCTCTGTGTTGTAATTTGGGAAGTAGTTGCTGGGTATTTGGGAGTTGTTGTCAGGACAAAAACTTCCATCTACATATGTGGTAAATTACATTTACTAATTTACATACATTGAACCATCTCTTCACCTTTAGGATGAAGCCAACTTTATCATGGTGGATAATATTTTTGATGTGTTCCTGAATTCAGTTTGCAAGTATTTTATTGACAATTTCTGCATCTATGTTCATCAAGGATATTGACCTATAACTTTATTTTTTTAAGAGGATTGTCAGGTTTTGATAACAGGATAACAATGGCTGTGGAAAGAGAATTTGGAAATATTTT